TCCTCAGTGTTCTCAATCTCGAGAACAACAGCTTCCGCGGTGGCATCCCTTATGGACTTGGCCACTTACCTCACTTGCGAGTCATTAATATTCAAAACAATCAGCTCAGCGGAAGTATACCAACAAGTCTATTTCAACACCGGAGAGTTCAAGTAATTTCATTGGCTTTCAATGAACTCAGTGGTGAAATGTGGAGAGGGCCATGGTATGTACCAGAACTCAGATTCATGGATCTGACCAACAATAGCCTCACGGGTATAATCCCTCCTTCTGTTGGAAATGCCACAAAAATGATGAACTTCATTTTGTCTGGGAATAGAGTAACCGGCAACATTCCAAAGGAGGTCGGTAATCTGAGCCAGCTTGCATTTTTGTCCTTGTTAGATAATCAATTAACAGGTTTCATTCCCGCAAAACTGTTTAATATGTCGTCACTACTTGCCGTATCTCTGTCATCCAATAGCCTTTCTGGTCCTCTCTTGCTAGATGAAGGGATTATTGTATCGAATCTGAAGTTTTTAAGTATAACTGACAATCAAATTTCTGGTTGCATTCCTTCCAACATATGCCAACTCACAGAGCTGGAAGTTTTGTCCATATCTTTCAACAATATAACTGGAGAAATACCCAGAAATATTGGTTGTTTATCCAAACTCGAGCAGTTTCTTATTGGTCAGAATCCAATAAAAGGGACTATTCCCACTTCATTGGGAAATATTTCCACTCTGCAATATCTTTATTGTGGAAACAATCGCATAATGGGGCAAATTCCTCTGGAATTAGGGACGCTATCAAATTTGAGGCAATTAAGCTTTGACAATAATTATAATCTTATTGGCCAAATTCCAGAGGCTATTTTCAACTTATCTTCTTTGGAAATAATTGATTTCAGTTTCAACAACCTCTCAGGGAGAATTCCAACCACTACAGGTCTTCATCTTCCGAACCTTGAAGGACTTTACTTGGCAGTCAATCAGATCAAAGGGGAAATTCCATTGTTCATAACAAATGCTTCCAAGCTTGAGCAACTGGAGCTACATAACAACTTTCTGACAGGAACTATTCCTAACAATTTGGGGAATCTTCGTGATCTGCGAGTACTATTCCTACATTCTAATCAACTTACTAATGAACCAAGAGAGCGTGAGTTGTTATTCTTCAATTATTTAGCGGACTGTACAATGTTGCAATATCTGCAAGTGGGTTCAAATCTGTTGAATGGCGTTCTGCCCAATTCTATTGGGAATCTTTCATCTACTGTCAAAAACTTTGAAATAGGAGATACACACATCAATGGCCTCATCCCCACAAGTATAGGAAACATGAGCGGTCTTACAGCCCTAAGCCTTAGAGGAAACAACTTGGTGGGAAGTATTCCTTCTGAGATTGGTGAGCTTAAACAACTCCAAGGGCTGTTGTTATCTAACAATAAATTGCACGGTCCTGAGGCGGTATGTCATTTATCTAATTTGGTTCAATTAAATCTGTATGGTAATGAGCTCTCTGGTTTAATTCCAGAATGCTTAGGAAATCTTAGCATGCTACAACTGCTTTCTTTGGGTTCTAATAAATTTTCATCAAAATTTCCGTTGAACCTTTTGAAAATAAGTGGTCTTCTCTCTCTAGACGTGTCACGAAATTCAATGGAGGGAGAAGTTCCATCAGATATTGGAGGACTGAAAGCCATTGTAGAACTATATCTTTCCGGTAACCACTTTTCAGGAATGATACCAAGCACATTCGGGGAACTCCAAAACCTGCAGTATCTTGACCTGTCGAACAATTCATTTTTTGGCAAAATTCCATTATCATTTCCCAACTTGATAAGCTTGGAATTCTTGGATTTGTCTTTAAATGCATTATCAGGTACTATTCCTAAGTCTTTGGAAAAACTCTCCTACCTTAAAAGCATTAATGTTTCATTTAATGATTTAGAAGGTGAAATACCTAGTGGTGGCGTGTTTGCAAATTCCACTCTGCAATCATTTCTTGGGAACAAAGGTTTATGTGGAATGCACATATTGGAGATTCTTGATTGTGCTATCACTAATCCTGGAAAACAATCAAAGTTTAAGGAGGTTCTGCTAAAAATTGTTACTCCACTGGTTATATCATCCTTTCTGATGTTCTTCTTAGTTTCAATTTGGATAATGAAACGACAGAAGAAAGGAAAGTTCAAAGATGTGGAAAAGGTACCGGAGATCACGACTCATCAATTAGTTTCTTATCATGAGATTCGACGTGCAACAAATAATTTTGATGAATCCAATTTAATTGGAGAGGGAAGCTCTGGCTCTGTGTACAAAGGCACATTGTTTGGTGGAACTGCAGTGGCCATTAAGGTTCTGGATTTGGAAAATGAGCAAGTATGCAAGAGGTTTGATACTGAATGTGAAGTTATGAGAAATGTTAGACACAGAAATCTTGTTCCGGTGATTACTACTTGTTCTAGTGACTATATAAGAGCCTTTGTTCTGCAATTTATGCCCAATGGAAGTCTGGAGAATTGGCTGTACAAAGAAGATCGCCACTTGAACCTTCATCAAAGAGTGTCTGTAATGCTTGATACAGCTATGGCAGTTGAATGTGTGTTGTGTAACACAGACTTATAAGGTTGATTTGAAGGATTGACTTGCTCTTAACAATATAATGAAAATTGATAGCAACAATTATTCTTTCTATTATGACTTTTATTTCGTTTTGTGAAACACAACCCAACTATGTTTCCACATTTTTGGAAATTATAGTCTATACTTTTCAACACATTTTATTTGTTTTAGTGCTATATATATAGTGGAGTAACTTTGGTCATTGGAAATACAACACACACAAATTAATATGGAGAAGCACATCTTCTTATTGATTCTTCTCTTTTTAATTCAATTTTCTATATCACTTGCTTCCTCTAATGAGACTGACCAACAAGCTCTGTTAGCTTTCCAAAATCTTATTACAAGTCCTAATAATTTTTTGGCCAATAATTGGACCAAAAATACTTCTTTTTGCTCTTGGTATGGTGTCACTTGCACACCAAAAAGCCAAAGGGTTGTGGCCTTGGATCTTCCTAATTTGCAACTTCAAGGCACAATTTCCCCATCTTTGGCAAATTTGTCCTTTCTCAGTGTTCTCAATCTCTAGAACAACAGCTTCCACAGTGGCATCCCTTATGGACTTGGCCAGGAAATGTGGAGAGGCCCATGGTATGTACCCGAACTAAGAGTCTTAAATCTCGGGAACAATAGCCTCACGGGTATAATCCCTCCTTATGTTGGAAATGCCACAAAATTGATGAACATCAATTTGTCTGGGAATAGAAGCAATGGTAACATTCCAATGGAGATCAGTAATCTTAGCCAACTTGCATTTTTGTCCTTGTTTGATAATCAATTAACAGGTTCCATTCCTCCAACACTGTTGAATATCTCGTTGCTACTTGGCATATCTCTGTCATTCAATTGCCTTTCTGGTCCTCTCTTGGTAGATGAAGGGAATATTGTGTCAAATTTGAAGCATTTAAGTATGTCTAACAACCAAATTTCGGGTTGCATTCCTTCCAACATATGCCAACTCACGGAGCTCAAACTTTTGTCCATATCTTTCAACAGTATAACTGGAGACATACCTAGAACTATTGGTTGTTTGTCCAAACTCGAAAGGTTTTATATTGGTGAAAATCCAATAGAAGGGACTATTCCCACTTCATTGGGAAATATTTCTACTCTGCAATATCTTGATTGTGTCGACAATTGGATGAAGGGGCAAATTCCTCAAGAATTAGGGAAGCTATCAAATTTGAGGGAATTAGGCTTTGACAATAATTCTAATCTAATTGGTGAAATTCCAGAGGCTATTTTCAACATATCTTCTTTGGAATTAATCAATTTCAGTTTCAATAACCTCTCAGGGAGAATTCCAACCACTACAGGTCTTCATCTTCCGAACCTAAAAGAAATTTACTTGGGAGACAATCAGATTGAAGGGGAAATTCCATTGTTCATAACAAATGCTTCCAAGCTTCAGATACTGG